TAGGGGTATTCGATTGCGCTACTGGTTCTTTACTCGTAGATTTACGTAGATGGTGTCCGATTCAATATGTCGATTGATCGCATTGTTCGTGGAGAACCATATTTCTAAAAATTCTCTCGCCTGATTCGCATTCCCATGTGCCAGAATCTTTACGTTTTCCAGTTCATAATGATCACCCGACTCATCCTGGTGTATAGAAACAAATGAATAGGGATTATGCCTTTTATGCCCTGTGATCCATGTGGAAGGTTCTCTTCCGGTTTGTCAAATGTTGTGTTTATCAAGTTCACCGCAGTTTATCTAGTATACTAAATGGGTTTGTCTACCTTGTTTAACCTTATCCTTCGATCTTGAAGGCAACCCTCTCAAGGTGGCACTTGGTTTGTGCGCTACGGTGGCTTTGTGTCGCTGAAGTAATCGTGTTGTAGGTCCAGAAACCTTCTTGTAGTAGGAAAGCACTAACTGTTTACTTATCTGCTCTGACCGCTCCTCAGATGTTCTCCTCTTCAGGCTTCTAATAGTTTCATTGATATCCATTATTTCATAATATACAGTATACTCTCCTGGCTCACTGTTTTGCTATTATTCATTTTAAGTAAGAAAGCCTGCTGGAACTCGCTTGTGGTCGACCTTGATCGCGGGTTTGTTCTGTGATACCAGCGAAGGCGATGCATAAATTATTCTGAGTCTTTTAAGGCTATATATACCAGACCCTTGGCAGATCCTAATGCGATTTCGCAGTCACACTGCTGATCTGGACATGTGCGTCACTGTTTTATGGATCCGTTTATTTGTCTCTTCTCGCCACAGCTGATGCGTTCTCTTCAGGCTTCCTCTAAAAATCTTCGTCGATATCCACTGTTTCACAACACGCGGTATGTCTAGTTCTCATTCTTCAAACATCCTTACAAACAATACGAAACGTGATCTACCTATATTGGCTTCTATGTAGCGCTACAACGTCGATATTGCGGCGCTTAGTGCGACCCGGCTCACTGAGCAAAGTTGCATAAAACAGATGCTGGATATACGTTCTACTGGGTAAACAACGCCACCTCAGCACCACGTGAACATGGGGTCGGATTTGCAATATCCGATCGCCTCAATGGCCAGCTGGTGAGTGAACCAACTGGCATCGGCGCGCGACTGATGACTGTTCGCCTACGACTCGGGAAGTAAGTTTGCCACTTTTATAAGCACGTACGGTCCGACTATGTGTTATCCTGATGACACGCGTGTTCAATTCTACACTCAGCTATCCTCCGTGATACGGTCCGTGCCGATGTGTGACCGACTATTTCTGCTGGGTGATTTCAACGCGCGCGTTGGGCGTGATGCATCGGTGTGGACATATGTTATCGATACGCATGGCATTGGCTCAGCGAATGCGAACGGTGACAGGCTGCTCTCGCTGTGTGCCACTCACGGCCTGACGATCACAAACACTCGGTTTGCACTGAGTGCGAGTGATATAGCAACTTTGACGCACCCACTGAGTGGTCACGCTCACCTGCTCGACTATGTCATCGTACGTCAGCGTGATATGCGTGAAGTGCACATGACGCGTGTATTGCGTGGAGCTGAGTGTGGCACTGATCACAAATTGGTGCGGACGAAACTATACATATATTTTCGTTAATCTACGTATTGCACTTTTGCCGTGAATTGGCGTAAATATAAAATTCTCTTCCTTGTTACTGTGTCGAAACGTATTAAGCTGGAGAAGGCGATGGCTGCACGCCTGTGTGGTGATGTGGACTGCATGGCCACAGTGGGCGACCTGTAACATCACATCCGCGACCAGGTGACAGCTGCTGCCGAGGAGACCATCGGGCGCACAAACTGTAAGCGGCCTGATTGGTTTGCTGTGAACAGTGCTGTGATTGGCGCATTGGTGTCGGAGAAGAATTCAGCATTTTCTGCACATGTCACAGTCCCCAGTGACTTGGGGAAAAAGAGTCCGTTTCGCGAACTTCGACAACGACTGACTCGAGAGCTCCGTGGCATCAAAAATGCATGGTGGACGGAGAAGGCGAAGCATATGGAATGCTACGCCGAACGCTGCCAACACAGGGAATTCGTTGACTCATTGAAGGCGGTGTATGGACAGAGATTGGAGCCGTTGAAGACGTTGATAGATGGCAGCTCAGGCGCTACCTACACACAGACTGCAGACATAATTCAGATCTGGCGAAATCATTTTGTCTGCCCCTTGAACAACCGTTCAGAGCTCGACTGGCCTACTTTGAACGGCCTGAAACAGCACGATGTTAGGGCGAGTCTGGCGGACACGTCGACACTGGGTGAGACGCAGAGAGCACTTGCTCAGCTGTGAAACAGCAACTGTGCCGGCGCCGACGGGATCCCGCTTGCAGTATTAAACCACGGCGGACGTGCCTTGGTGACTGTGCCGTACCACTTGGTGCAACGCGTGTAGATAGAGGAGGTGCCACCTGAGCTGAATGATGCCCTTGTGCTACCACTGTACAAGGGCAAAGGTAGCAAGCAATGTTGCACGAATTTCGTGGTATCAACTTGCTGATTTGTGTGGGCAATGTGGTTGCTCGAATCCTGCTCAACCGCCTCGTCACTCAGTTTGTAGAACCGAACGTGGCGGAAGAGCAATGTGGATTTCGTTCGGGTCGCAGTACTATAGGTATGATGTTTGCGCCTTGTCAGTTGTTGGAGAGGTGTAGAGAACGACACCAGCCGTTGTATCGTTTTTTGTCCATTTCCCTAAGGCATTTGATGCGGTGAACCGCGAGACATTGTGGCTGGTGTTGGGTAAGTTTGGTTTTCCAAGTAAGTTTTAGGTTTACTTGAACGTCTGCACAGTGGTATGCGGGCGAGGGTGCAGCTGAGTGGAAAGACCTCAGATGACTTTGCAGTTGGCTCTGCTGTGAAGCAAGGATGTCTTAGATCCTGCCGTGCTTAATATTTTTATGCCATTGTGTCTTGTGCTTTTGATGCGCCTTGGGCGTACGGTGTTCGTGTGGATGGTGGATTACTGAACATCCGTCGTTTCGATGTGAGAACCCTAGTTTATGATACAACTATCCGTATGTTGCTGTTTGCTGACGACTGTGCGTTGTTTGCACACGGTGCGGATGAGTTGCAGCACATGATTAATGCTCTGGCTTCGGCAGCGGCCAAATTCGGGCTCACCATCAACACAAGCAAAACTGTCTGTCTCTTTCAGCCCTCACTGGAGGTCAGTCTGCAATGATGCCGCGAAACAGCATTGGTGATCACATGTTGGAAATCACCTCCCTCCTCTGCTACCTTGGGAGTGTGGTTTCGACTGACCAGCAGCTTCACAGTGAGCTTGGTATTCGGTTCTCGATGGCAGCGGCGGCATTCGGGAAGCTAGAGTACCGAGTGTGGAACAACCATCAGTTTACCGTTGGTACGAAGCTGGTGGTGTACAAATCCATGGTACTGTTTGTTCTTCCATACGGTAGTGAAACGTGGACGATGTACCGTCGGGATGTGCGATATCCCGAGCGGTTCCATCAACAGTGTTTGCGACGGATTCTGCGCATCAGTTTGTGCGACAGTGTTGTGGACACGGAAGTGTTGCGACAAAGTGGGATGTATGCAGTGGACTGCATCCTTTTGCTGAGACACCTTAGGTGGCTCGATCATGTGTGGCGTGTGGATTCGACGCGGATACCGAAGCAGCTATTATATGGTCAGCTGAGTATTGGGAAGCGGCATGTGGGGAAACCAAAGTTACGTTACCAGGACATGATCATTGTGAACCTATCACGTTCTTATCTTGATTGTAGGTCATGTGAATCGAAAGCGGTTGATCGTTGTGCATGGCGTGATCTGATCACAAAGACCGTTGCTGAGGTGCAAGAGTAAGCCCTCATGCATGCGGAGAAGTAGCGGCAATTGTGGATGCTCGAACGCCAAGGGGTTGTACTCCATCGACATCGAGCGCATGGTGCTGTAGCACATGCGGTCGCGAGTGCCTGTCAGACAGGCTTAGTGAGCGACGCGCAAGTCCCCACGGGACCACTATCGAAGCGACGACGGGTCCTGCAGAGAACGTAGGCAGAACCGGCGCAGCGTTTTAGGTACGCTGCATTCGATTTACTAACTGTGTGCTTGCATGCTGAATCTCTTTATTTCAGGTGGTGAGTTTGCTATATTGTCTTAATGCCTTTTATCTCCTAATAATGTCTACCTGAACTATAAACTTGCACACGTCCTTTAAACTAATTTAGTTAACTTCGATAACATTTTCGCATTTGTGGCATTTTCTTAAAATATATTTTCTGATGTCTTGAGCTTATCGCGGATTTGTTCGTAACCAATTTATTTCTCATTGCTCTCATTGCTCATTTAGTGAAGGGTTGTCACCGTATCTACATGCATTATTCGATTTAATTTTTTTGATATCGTCGTTTCAAGTGATTGACTTTTGCTTAACATTCCCGGTGTGGCCGTGCTTTATGTGCTTGCTGACAAGTTGCCTACCTGTTTCTTACCCAGTACCTCGTCTCTACTCGCCTTGAGAGACAGTTGGTCGTTAATGGAGGGGCCGGGGTGCACTGTCCTTGTGGCTGTGTTAGGATCAAAGAGCGGTTCCATGCACTCAGTGTGGAACGGACTACGCTGCAGCCACGTCTTGTGTGCGATTGACTCCCAACTACAGCGTGTTTGTGTTTGCCTGTTAAGGAGTGTGGGCCGGCTCCGTTGATGAAGCGTGGCTCCCCTCCACATGCCTCCCGGTCTTATTCCTTCGGGTTTACACTGGATATGGGGTGTGTGGTTGGAGCTGTGGGTGGTGCAGCGCAAGCCATCCATGGTCCCTCTGTTGGCACAGTCGTCCTGTGGCTTGCCACAGTGACAGGCAAATTCGAAACCGGATGCCCGCAATCATAGTTGTCTAATAGACCTAAGCTGAATTTGGGCCTACCCAGGCAGTTGAAGACGTGAACGTTATTTTTCAACTTCTACCTGTTTCTTCGTCTCCCATCTCCAATCCTTAGGTATTGTTTCCTCGCTGCGTCAGCTCATGGCTAGTGGATGGCTAACTGACCGTTGGCGTCTTATCTCCGTGGACTGCGATCATTTCGCCTCGGAGAGCTGGGAGCAAAGTTTCGTCTGTTGCTATCGAAATGCCCAATGCGTGCTTTCCAGTCTATTTCGTCTTCCCGAATTCAGAAAACGCCTGTTTGGCGGTGAGTATGCTTTCTCGTTGCTTGCCTTGACACTTACCCCCTTCATTGGTCCAATACATAATTTTTTATTTTCACACTCTGGCTGTCACTCCACTAGTTCATCAACCAACATCTTACGACATTCACTGTGCCTCACTGAATGTCTGCCCTATGTATACGGCATATGCATTTCATTTTTAAAGGGGAGTTTGGGGGCCAAATTTGGTTTGTATATTGGATTAATCTCAGAAATTCGGCGCCATTACTGTGTCATGCTTAGTTGAACATTTACTCCGTTTGGTGATGATTATTTTTCGAATAGTATCGTGTGTGTGTGTGTTGTGTGTGAATGGTATGACCTTGTTTGATCTGAGAAAGTTAACGTAAAGTGAAAGCATGCGAAGCAGCACTTGTGTTGGAGATACATGTGGGCACATGCTGACTAGCAGAAAATGACAAAGTATCAAAAGGTACCTAGATTTATGGGGTAGAATGGGAGCGACTTGGATCGATTTCAAGTCACTCAGCTGGCCTCTGTACATTTGGTGTGACACTGCACAGCCTTTTCGTCCTTTCGAAACTCGCTCATAGTGCACAAACGTCTGTACATTCAGTATTTACAACTGCTCTACTGAATTGCTTCCTTTTTACTGGTAGGTTGCACTAACTGTATTTTGGTTCCATTGATTCTGCAATTCATTAGACACCACTTCATAAAGAGTACATACACACACACACACACACACTGAAAATCACATTTGAACACAACCGAGTTGCTGACTTCCATCAAAACGTCAGCAGCTTCAGAGTTTCCCATGCGGCACACATAACATCATCATCATCATCATTACACGTTAGCTGGAGGTGGAAAACCCCTCAGCTATTGTGCCGCAATACAAAAGACAAGAAAAGAAAAAACAAACAGTGGCACGCCCGCTGAGTCCCCAGTAACGGATGGACATCGTTCCGGAGAGCTAACAGCTGGCTGCCGTAAAAGAGATTCATATTATGCCTAACAAGTGAGATCGTGATTGGAGGGGGATGCTAAGCAGGAGGGCGATGGACAAAGGAACTCACAACACAAACGCTATTGGGGCCGGCTCCAAGCCAAATCAGCGAGTGTGTCCAACCAAACGTGTTCACCGTCCTTAGGGCCCCAGCCAGGCAGTCGGGATTCACCGACCGACGCCAACTTCGAAGTGAGGGTTTTATTTCTCTCGACCAAGTCATCACTTGTCCTCCCCTCCTCCTCTTCCAACCGCACCCACAACGCGCAAACAATGCAAGTCGCGAGAGTCGGTGTGCTGCCATGCGCAACATGTGGCCCAGCCATCGGAGCCTGGTGCGTGATATAATGGTGCTGAGCGGTTCACTCGCTCTTCCTTCGCCAAATACGCGACGTCGAACACGCTCATTGCTCACGCGGTGCTCCCACCAGACATGATCTAAGCTGCGAAGGCATCGATGATCGAATGTGACGAGCCTCTTTATGTCTGTCGACCGGATGGGCCAGGTTTCACAGCCACATAGGAGAGTTGAACGGACGGCTGCGTTATAAACTTTGCCCTTCAGGGCGAGAGTAATGTCATGTCTGCGCCAAAGGTGGCGGAGATTGGCAAAAGCACCTTAAGCTTTTGCTATACGGTTCGTAACCTCATCTTCAATCCCATGGGTGCTAATATAGCTGCCCAGGTACTTGAATTCCTGAATGACTTCTAGCAGATCACCACCAAGCGTTAGCTCAGGCTTGGGTCCCTGCCAATCTTGGAGAAGTACTTTGCATTTCGATGGAGCAAAGCATAGCCCAAAACGGTTGACCCGCACACATATGGTTTCGCTTGTCTAATTCTTGGTGCACGTGAGTTGAGACCAGGAGTCATCCCGTTTATCCATTCGGCTGGCCACTACTAGATGACTTTCTACTAAATACTGCATGTTCATATGATGCATAAGCGATGAAGCGTATTCGAAACCGCGGGTATCTTTACTATGCTCACTATATCGTATCAACATCATCATCATCCTCACAAGGCGTCCGTGCGAAGTTCGATGCATACCGCCCCTACCGAGCTGGACAGCCTGGATTGTTGCGTTGAGGATGTGCATAGATAGCTCGCTAGTCTTGAGGGTACCAAGCCTGCCGTTCCTGATGGGCTCCATCAGCTGATCCTCAAATCGCTACCGGCCATCATCTCACCTTCGGTGACTGAGCTATTCAAGAAGTCGCTGTCCGCCACTGCATTGCCGAGCGACTGGGAATGCTCAGTGGTGTGACTGATTCTGAAAGGTGGCGATCCGACGAAGGTGGAAAACTACCAACCTATATGCCTGACCTCTGTTTCGGCTAAGACACTGGAGAAGATCGTTAAGCATCTCGAGTCGAAAAACATCTTGACGCCCGCGCAGCACGGTTTCATGAAAGGTCGGTCATGCATCACAAATCTGCTGCTCTAGAGGTACGAATGGTTGCAAGCGCAAAGGAAGTCGGTTGAGGTCATTTACGTCGACTTCAGTAAAGCGTTTGATAAGGCAAACCATAAGATCCTCCTTCGGAATCTGAAAATGTGCGGTGTTGGTGGCTTACTACATCAGTGGATCAGTGATTTCCTTAGTGGTAGGACGTGGAGGTGCATGTGGACAACTAATTGACCTATTGCTATCCCTTGACCAGTGGCGTCCCACAGGACACAGTCCTTGGGCCCATTTTGTTTCTGCTCCGCATCAAAGATTTGCCACAACTTCTCAGTTCACGTTGCGCGTTGTTTACAGATGACCTTAAGGTATGGAGGCTACTTGAGGCGCCCGACGACTGCGACCTACTTCAATATGAAGTTGATTGCCTCTCCATGTGGTCAGCAAAGATCAGCCTTCCGATCAATCCGGTCAAGTCGGTATTCATGAGCCTGCGCAAAGGTGATAATGGCCGAGTCTACCATCTGGCCGGCCAACAGTTACATTCATCACAATTCGTGAAACATCTCGGGGTACTCTCATGCTGGTATTTGAAATCTGTTGAAAACACGAACAGGCTATATCGTAACGGACTGCGCATGCTCTGCGCGCTCAAACACAACTTCTGCACTTGGTCCGAAGAGATTGCCACTCGCCTCTTCTCTTCTATATCATCAGACCAATGCTAGAGTGCTGCTCATCCGCCTACTGTCCGCTCACTCGGAGCGAAGCTTAAAAAATCTCACGGGTCCAACACTTTGCTACTTGGCCGATCCCGAATTTACGTGGCTTGGGGTATGTAGACCGGTGCGAGAGACTGGGACTCTACACCTTGTCTTACCGTCAGGTGCGAGTCGACCTCATTTTGACCTACATCTCGCTGAGGCCATGCAGCACACGCGGAGACAAATACCATTTTGTGGTGCCAGATCCGAAGCGAGTTTCCCACCCACTGTGCTTTGAACGTAGAGGAATAAATATTTGTATCAGTTTAACTTAACATGTGATGGAAGCAACATCTGTGCACCAGTACAAAACGTTGCTGAATTTAAATCTTACCATTATTCGATTCAGAGAACGGTTACACACTTGCGGTGACATCTCACATTTGTGAGTCCAGCAATACCTTCAGATAATCTAAACATTACGTGAGAACGACAACGATATTCACCTGACACATTTTAATACCCTTTCACCATATTTCGAAGGAGTTGTACAGAATTCATTTCTACTTGCTCCACAATACAGTATTCCGTTAGCACAGTCGAAGCAACTGCTCTTCTTGTATATTTCCATTATAATCCATTCACTACAGTTAGCCAGGATGGTCAAATCCTTCTAGATAGGTTTGAACAGGGAGGTCAGGGCTTTGTAGAGGGTCTCACCATTATCCTTAAGTATGGCAGATGCGAGGAAATCCGGGCCACAGCTCGGTAAAGGATTGAAGACTGTGATTGCTTTTCGGACGTCAGTCTCTAATGGAACCACTTAACTAACCGACCATGGTTCAGCCTTCACCAACGCAATGGGAAGACTTCGTAGCGAGGGGTCAACTGAAGTGTTTTTGAGACTGCTCCGCCCATTGAGCCATACGGTGCTCCTTATTGTGAATAATGGCACCCGTGTTGTTTCCGATTGTCTTACTGACGTCTGGTTTCCTAAGACCGGTGGTGCGGATCAGTTGGAAGAGCTTCTGCTAATTGCATTCTGCTCCCGCTTTCTCCATTTCTTGAACCCTATTGGTCCACCCGGCTTCCTTGTCAGCACTCATGCTTCGCTCTAATTCCCGTTTACTAGTCCCTATAGTCACACCGTACTCAGAGCCAGCCGGGTTTCTTCTGATTTCCAACAGGTGCACCGACCGAAATAATTTGGAGCAATTTGGAATATCGGTAGCTCGGGAGGCTTGTTCATTTGTTGATGAGTTCTCTGAGCTGGGCAACTTGATTGCAAACGTTTCGCCACTATTCGAGGTGGCATCTTCAGTGCAAGTTTGATAGTAGTCAGGTAGCAGGAGCTGGTAAAAAGCAAACTCAATGATGGATACCGTCAGCAACCACTCCGTTTCTTGCATAGGCATACGGAACTATTAAGTTTGTCTCTTTCTGTTTGGTGAATCATTGTGTTCTGCGGTCGTGCTCGAGTCACTGTCATTGGCTGCGGGAATGTTGTTGCGAGGTGGTTGGGAATATCGCACTCGTATTGGGTTAACTGGTGGGTGAACAGTCTAAGCGCACTTTACCCATTCTGTTCATTCTCTGTGTGTTGGATTAGGTTCTTTCGAACAACGGTTGTTAATCTTTTTGAGCTCTCTCTGTCGCAGCTGTTGATATATTGGATCGATGTCGATATGCGTGTTGATTGAGTTCATGGTTGAGAACCAGGCTTCGGGAAACTCCCTCCCTTTTTGTGTTTCTCCTTCGGTCAAGATCTCTACTTTGTTCCAGTTGAAGCTGTGTCCCTCTTCATCCACATGTGCTGAAACCAATGAGGTTGCGTAATGGTTCTTGCACGCTCTTTGGTGTTCATGTATCCTGGTGGACAGCTTCCTTCCTGTTTGTCCCTCGTAG